GCCCCAAATTTTGTTCACAGGAGTATACTTTACTCAATTGTTTAAAGCTGTAAATAGCTCAAAATAAAAGTTTTCTTGACTCTGAAAAACAAAACAAGGATCGGCAACATTTTAAGCAAAACATTAAAAAGATTATTGTAGACTTCTATTAGTTTAGTCAATGCAGTTAACTCCTGTTTGATAGTCATGAACATTTCAGCTCTCCATGAGAGTCCTGAAAGTTTTTTCCTCTATTCTGATGTCACAGTCTCCAAAGTTATCAGAAAATCTGCATTCAAGAACATCTGCTAGAGTTCTATAGTTGATTATAAATCACCTTCTAAAGAGGACCAAAACAAGACAACAATTATCTGTGGATGACAAAACATCTTAGGAGAGCCACAGTTGAAAACATAGTTGACAAAGAAATTTGGCTACCTCTGTAGCATACAATAATTTTATGTAATGATTATAATTATTTAAAAACATACACTAAGTCATTTTAGAATTATAAATTTCCCATAATTTTGGAACATATACCAATAACATATTTATACAAATATAGCCCAAAGAAAACAAAACGCTGTTTTACATTTGATAATCCTTCCTGTATGACTTTATACTAAATAAACTAAATGTCACTGTTTGCATTAGTGCATTGTTGGTGTCAAACCAAATTCTTAATAAAATCTTACAGACAAATGTATTCAATCTTAATCAGTTTGACCATAAGGTAAGATTCTCATAAACCTTTTATAACCCTTTACAATTTTTGTTAAAGAGCAGATTAAAAGGAGGTTTTTGCTCTAAGGAAAACCTGTTGTGTTTTTATTCCGGTGTATGGAAACACTGAATAATACCCCTTTAACTTTAGCCAATATGTTCACACACAGAATTTTTTTTACAAGATTAATTTTTCACAAACTGTTCACAACTTGTTTAAGCCTTCAGCCTTATTTTATCTAACTTAAAACAATCCTTTAGCCAAAAAGTAAATAAATCCATATTCCCATGACTTCTTATAATCTTTTACCAAAAGTATATTCTACTTTCCTTACAGGCCTTGTGTGTAGACTGTTTGTCAATAGTCTCAATTACATGTTAAGTGTTAATTCTTAATGACTTTTACTTTTGGTAAAAACCTTGGTAAGTATGGGATTTTAATTATGTACTAGGTGTGGAGCCTGGGACCCGGACAGAAGTGCAGATAAGGTCTGACTCTTTCCAGAGTCTCACTCCACATGTACCAGGCCTTACCTAGCTGTAAAACAGGCAAGTTGTACAGTTAAGAGTCATAGTGGCATTTTATGAAGCCTTTAGGAGGCCTAATCACCTTTAAATTGTACATTTCTTGCATAAATTCCCTTTCATAAATTATTTCACAACTTACACAGACAATCTTTGACATTCTTGGACTTTCCCACTTGTCCTAAACATCTCTCTTTTTAAACAACCAGTTATTTTACTTTAGGACAACAATTTACATACAAGAGCATTTCTTACATAAAATTTCTATTATTTATAACCTTCTTTGCCTAGCTAGTGGTCATGGTTAATTTCACATATCTCCAGGCCTTACCTAGAATCTAATGCTCCAAAACAAATTGAATAATTTTAAAAAGTTAAGCAGTTTATGACCTTAAAGTATTTAGCAAACTTAGTATCTGACCCACATAATTTAAACCCAATGTTTACATTTTTGAAGATATTTTTATTTACCGATAATGTTTAAAACTGTCTTTATTTCCCAAATATTACTTAAGTCACGTGAACTATATGAAAGGCATTAAACATTACTTTTCTGACAAAATACTTGATTTCAGGTCTTATTATTAAACCAGTTAATCAAAGCTCTTTCACATATAAACATCACACACACAACACATATAAATACACAGAGAGAAGATAGAGGACTCCTTCCCTAAGGCAGGAATTGAACTCTGAACCCAGGCCACCATTGTGATGGCAGAGACCAAGAGAAAGTACTGCCACATGGTTACAAGGTCAAGCTCCCAAGGACATACAAAAGGGAAACCTTATCCAGTTTTATTCAGGGACCTGCAACAAAGTTTGTAACTGACAGTTTGCTGGGCCATCTTGAAAAGCAGGCTTACAGGTGCCCTAAGCCCATGTTCTGTCCTAAGGTACTCCTGTTCATGACACAACAATACAGAAAGACACACAAAGTACACCAGATTCACTACAGCTTAAGACTAGCTTCACAATTCCTTTTTCCCGTAATCAAAACTTTGTAGGAGATAAACACTAACTTTTACCATTCATTCAACTGGTTTGCAGAGAGAGAAAAAGAAAAGAATTGCCTCAGGCAGGGTGGGGAAGGCAAAGAGTTCAGGGAGACCAGAGAAAGACCTACCTGTTGTTCAAAAGTTCAGGTGGCCACTTGTTGGTCACAAAGGGATCTTTTCCAGGAGTTCCATCAGCTCTCAAGGTTTTCCCGTTTTGGGGAGGAAAAAGCTCCCCATGTCATATGTTCCTGTACATGCCTAATCCTATCACCCATAGCCATCAGCAAAGAGTACAAGGCAGATTAATCCAAAGAGAATAGCAGTTCACATCCCACAGTGCCAAACGTATTCTTAGTCAAAAGGGATTTTACTGAGAGAGACCTCTAACCCCTAAATCTTATAGGGAACCCTAACCCTCCTAAGTTGGGCCTCTAACCCAAGGTTGGCCAAGCATCCTTGCCTTTTATTAAGGGGGGACTGTAACCCAGTGTCTTAGGAGAGACCCTGACTCCCCTAAGTTGAGCCTCTGACCCAATCCCATTATTTACCTGGGTACCCCACCACTTACCTAAAGTTGGCTGATCAGTGTTGCAGTCCATTTCCTTTGGTTTGGGGAGTTTCTTCAGTATCATCCCTTTGGGGTTTGCCAGAAAGATGTTACCAGGCGCCACCACTTGCCCAAAGTTAGCCTTTGGGCTGGGGGTTTCCTTATTATAGTCCATTCCATGGTTGCCAGAAAGATGTTAGAGAAAAGGAGTCCTGATCCAGACCCCAAGAGAGAGTTCTTGAATCTTGTACAAGAAAGAATTCAGGGTATCCATAGAGTAAAATGAAAGCAAGTTTATTAAGAAAGCAGAGGAATAAAAGAATGGCTACTCCATAGACAGAACAGCCCCATGGGCTGCTGGTTGCCCATTTTTATGGTTATTTCTAGATGATATGCAAAACAAGGGGTGGATTATTCATGCCTCCCCTTTCTAGGCCATATAAGGTAATTTCCTGATGTTGCCATGGCATTTGTAAACTGTCATGGCACTAGTGGGAGTGTAGCAGTGAGGACAACCAGAGGTCACTCTCGTGGCCATCTTGGTTTTGATGGGTTTTGACTGGCTTCTTTACTGCAAGCTGTTTTATCAGCAAGATCTTTATGATCTGTATTTTGTGCTGACCTCCTCTCTCATTCTGTGACTTAGAATGCCTTAACCATCTGGGAATGCAGTCCAGTAGGTCTCAGCCTTATTTTACCCAGCTCCTATTCAAGATGGAGTTGCTCTGGTTCGCACACCTCTGACAGTTCCACTGTAGTGTGATGAACTCTTGGTTGGTCACTTGTGCAAATCATCAGATATGTGCTTGCTTCTGTTCACAAATCCTAAGGAGATACCCACTGATAGATACACAGCATCCACTCATGTAGTGTCTGAATCAACCTTCCTGCTCTGGCGGGAGAGACCTTTTGGATAAAACAACCTCTTAACAGTAGAGAAAATCCTTGCTAGCTACCAACATGTATCAATCTAGTCCTTTGTCAGTAAAAAAGAATGGATCGCCATGGATTATTTAGACATTTGAGGCAAATCAATATCATGAAAGTGGAGGATCAAGTTTAACCAAATGAATGGTGGTGGCAGAAAGGCTAGCTGTCTGCCAAAGATTAATGATCTCCATTCATGGCATAGAGCTTTCCTGGAATCAAATGCCCAGCCAGTGGCAGCATTTCCCAGACACCTTCACCGCCAGGTAGAGTCATGTGACTAGCTCTCACTAGAGAGCTCTTAACCACATTTAAGCAGATGTGGTAAGAGTCATTTCTTGGCCAAAGTAATCAAAAAGGTAGTTTGTCTTTCCCACTTACTTCTTTCCCCATAGCTTCTGCACTTACTTCTTCTACACAAATATCACCTCCTCAGAGACCTTCCCTGATATTCCTAAATAAAATAGCTCACACTCTGCCCTTGCTGTATCACTCTTAATTTAGCCCATTGCCATGCTTTACTTGTTCTTATAGCACTTCTCACCATGTGATTTTTGATTAAATATATCTGTTTATGTGTTATAAAAAATCTGTCTTCCCCACTAGAATAAAAACTCCATGAGGGCAGGGTATTTAAATTATTGCAGCTATATCCCAGCCTCTATAGCAGTGCTGTAACCTATCAAGCGTTCAGTACATAGACAGAATGAATGATTAAAGCTTTGATGGTGATGAAATGCATGTGCCTCAAGAAGGAGTATCATATCATTCAGTTTTTAGTTAGGTATCAATACTGAGGTTGTCAAGGGGTGCTAGAGGAACTCAAGGATAGTTTTGCATCCTTGACATATAAATAGACCCAGTGGGGTGAGGCTTTAAAAAGTCTAAGGCTACAATTTCCAGGTAAGTATATTGACAAGAGTTGAGGGAAGGTATTGAATTTTTGCTGCACCCACCCTTGTTCACAGTGGTCTGTGGGCTCTGTCACTTCCATTACAGTTCTTGGCCATAATGAGAAGCTGCAGGATGCTTAAGTACTCTCTGAGGGATGCTGTTTTGTTCAGCTTTCAAACCATAGAAAAGTGTGAAAATTAGGTCACACCTCATGAAATTTAAATAACAAAACATTCTACCTAGCTTTATAATACCCTAGTTCTCCAACTGCTATATTTCATTATGCCTATAAATGGGAATTATTATTTTTGGTTTAGTATCACAACTTAAGGTGAATTTCTGCCCACCCCTATCCTTGGCCATTGTAGGGGAACTGACATGTTTTATTATTTATTCTTGCTCCTCAGAATGGATTGGGATGATGAATATTCTCATAATTCTTTTGACCTATATTGTTTGTTAAACTCATTTCCTGGAGACTTGGAGTTTGAGCAGATCTTCAGTGATATTGATGAAAAGATTGAACAAAATGCTGCAAGGTAAATATTGTTAATTATTTAAAACAAGTTGTTTTCACATTTCACTTATATGAAATTTACCTGGTCTATTTGTGTCCTGCTTTTAGATAATTTTAGGTTTTAATTGTCATTAACTTTCCCCCAAAATATTGATTAGACTCCCTCTCACTTAAAGTTTACATGGTTGTCTTTATCTGAGTAGCATTTTTAAGACTAGAAAATATAAGCACTATCTTGAAGTAGGCAATTAAAGTTTATTAAATTGGCACTAATGTTTTCTTAGAGCTTGTCAATATTGATGTTCTGAATTTTCATTAATGTGGTTAGAGTGTAAGGCCATGATTGCTTGAGTTACTAAAAACAGAACATTAAAATTTTTTTGCATAATATTTAAGATTCTTTCTCACTTAAGTAGGAGGCTAGAGATTTTATAGAGAGTTGTGATACTAGATTAGTCATCACCTATCCCAAAAAGTCGTGTTACCAAATACTGAGGGAAACAGTGACAGCTAAATGGTTTCTCATTAATACGTGTTCTTTGGTAGAAAGGACTCTGTCTTCATATGTAGTTGTGGACCCTATAATCAGGCAGTTACTTATTTGCATCATTTTGATCAACGGTTCTACTTTACCTCATGTAGGTTACAAATGTGCAAACCACAGTAAAAATTTATATTGTGTAATGATACATAGCATTTCCTTTTTTAAAATTTAAGATATAGTTACATTGAATTTCCAAAGAAACTGAAACAAGTAAGTGAAATGTTCCTATGATATTTTTCCTTCTGCTTTACATGAGAATAGTTAGTTCTTTATTATAACAATGGACATAAGTAAATTGAAAAGATAGCATATTATTGGAGAATTATACTTAAAAACATCTCCCATCCCAGAAATCCTCTCCATGAAGGTAGTAGGGAAAGGAAAAAGAAACGCTTTTATTATTGAATTAAAAACCAGAATATGATGTGCATTTCAGGCAGTTCACTAAGAGCTTGCAAAAATGGAAGGGAATCTCACCCCTTTAAATAGCGAAGCAGACACAGCCCATTACATTACATGTTATCAAGATAAACAATCACTAGTCCTCAGGTAGGAAGACTGGATAGCACATTTTGTCACACATAGTTCATCCTAACTTTTTACCATGGTAAATTAGTGTTAGCTAATTGGCTTTATCCTGAGGAGAAACAAACTTTTTTGTGTCTTTATAACCGGAGATCGTTTTGCAAATTGGAACAGGCAACCACTGAAGTTAGGCTCTTACTCTCTCACAGGAACTGGGAGATTGGGGAGCTATCTCCCTTGATGCTTGTATTTCAAAAAGATAGCTCCCAGTTTCTTGAGAAGGGCATTCCTGGGTCACAAAGCTGACAAAAGGACTGCTGACAAGTTTTCCAAAGAATAGATACATGTCTTCCTAGTCTTCCAAGGAATAGATACATGGCAAAAGATGAGAAAGTACTTATGATTACAGGCTTTTCTTTTTTCTTTTTTTGTTTTTTAGTCACCCAGGCTGGAGTGCAATGATGCAATTTCGGCTCACTGAAACCTCTGCCTCCCTGGCTCAAGCGATTTTTGTGCCTCAGCCTCTCAAGTAGCTGGGATTACAGGCACCTGCTGCCACACACAGCTAATTTTTGTATTCTTTGTAGAGATGGGGTTTCACGATGTTGACCAGGCTGGTCTTGAACTCCTGACCTCAGGTGATCCATCCGCCACAGCCTTCCAAAGTGCTGGGATTACAGGCGCGAGCCACCATGCTTGGCCTATGATTACAAGCTTTCTGAGGTAAATGCTCTAAGGAAAAAGGAGAGGAGGGAAATCTTTTCCCTTATTTTCAACAGGGAAAATTAAACTTTTTATTTTTAATTTGTATTTGCCCTTTATACTATACCTATACATATACACATTATATATGTATTTTAGAGATAGACAACCAAACTGAGAATGTATAGTTGATATTTCATATAAATATAAAATAAACTTTAGGGTAATTATGTATTTATATAACTTTCATGTTAAATATTTATGTATTTTATGACACAGTTTCTAACTCAGAGAAACTTACAAATGAAAATAGTATTTACTTAAATGGATTAACAAGACATTACCTAAATTTCAGAGATGTTTATATTTTTAAAAATTGAACTATTTTTTAAAAGGTAAACCTTTTCCTTCACAATGGAACTTAGGCTCCATCAAAATAAAACAAGTCACTGAACTCTGATGCTTTTGTTCTGGATTGCTTATTTTTATTTATGAACCATTTATACTTAATTTTTTGCCTTACCTAGTCAAAAAGAAATCATATTTAAAAGTAAAACAGTGATTAAAACATTGTATTTTGCATTAAAAAATAGTTATTAGGTCAAAACTCAGATGTTAGTATTAAAAAGAAAATACAGTATGGAACATAGGATATAATTTTTAAATTAAAAATATTTTATTGCCCATATATTAAAACGAACCTAGAGCAGAACCACCTCAAGTGACCATTGATCTTCACAAGGGACAAAATAAGGAAGTAGCTGTATGTGCTGTATGCTACATTTAGAATCAAGTCTATTTTTCATCAAATTCAATTATGTTTTCATTATACTCCAGAGAATAAACATAATAGTATAGAGTATATATATTTTTAAAAATAAAATACTGAATAATAACTGTGGTTCAGAAGAGTATAAATCATTTATGCGCTCATTTATTGCCTTGTAACAGAATAGCTTTTAGAAAATTGTATGTCATGACGAATCAGTTATGCCACACTTACACTGCAGTAGTTGAATTACCCTTGGCATTTTTGTATTCTAACAGTTCTATTTATCTCCCAGTAGTGTACATTGAATAAGTAATGAACATCTGTATGGTATAGGTTTTCCTCCATAGTTTTAAAAGAAAAAAACAACATTAGTAATTCATTTTAAAATACGATAGTTTTTTCCTTATACTTGAATTTTTAAAGTAGCAGTGACCCTGACATCTATTTATGAATTCCTTCTCTCTCCTTAATATCATCAGCTTTTATGAGCCACAGGGTCTATTGCTTCCCCAAAGCAGTGATTCACCAGAATGGACCAGTGTGCCCAAAGGTCACTGAACCTTCACCTGCCCTTCAAGAGAGGCTGTCATTCTCAGACCACTTCACTTTTACATTCTCCTTTCCATTCAAGTCAGACCTGGGTGACTAATAGGTCCGACAGCAGAAATTAGTGATAATGAATCATTTATTCAAACACATATCAAAATAGGTAACAAGAGGTAAATAACATGCCAAAGAGAAACATTATGAATGTTGTACCTGCGTATCATTAGTTCCCTAACTGAAAACTGCATACTTTAGCACTAATGAACTGAGTGCTACTTACTAGTTTTACAAAATATTGAGGTACAGAAGTTCTTCTGGGCTCACAATATGACACAGCATAGGCCGGACGCGGTGGGCTCACGCCTGTAATCCCAGCCCTTTAGGAGGCTGAGGTAGGCAGATCACAAAGTCAGGAGTTCGAGACCAACCTGGCCAATATGGTGAAACCTCATCTCTACTAAAAATACAAAAATCAGCCAGGCATGGTGGTGTGCACCTGTAATCCCAGCTACTCAGGAGGCTGAGGCAGGAGAATTGCTTGAACCCAGGAGGCGGAGGTTGCAGTGAGCCAAGATTGCGCCACTGCACTCCAGCCTGGGCAACAGAGTGAGATTCCATCTCAAAAAAAAAAAAAAAAGACACAGAATGATTTTTTTCCCCCTTAATGTTCAGTTGGATAAATATAATTGTATCTTAACAATTTATTTTACTTTTTCATTTCCTAATTATAGACAACCTCTGTGTGTATCTTAGGAAGTAAGTTTTGCTGGTACCAATGCCGCTGGACTACTTTTTTTTCTTTTTTTTTAATCTAAAGAAAGATGTAATCTCAACACTTTGGGAGGCCAAGGCAGGAAGATCACTTGAGAGCAGGAGTTTAAAACTAGCCTGGACAACATAGCAATACCCCATCTGTACTGAAAAAAAAAAAAAAAATTAGCCCAACCTTGGTTGGTTGCTCACCTGTGGTCCTAGCTACTCGGGAGGCTGAGGTGGGAGGACTGCTTGAGCCCAGGAATTTGAGGCTGCACACGCTATTGTACTCCAGCTTGGGCAACAGGCTGTCTGGAAAGGAAGGGAGGAAAGGAAAGGAAAGGGAAAGGGAAATGAGGAAAGGAAAGAAAAGGAAAGAGGGAGGGAGGACCCGAGGCAGGGAGGAAGGAAGGAACAAGAAGTGCTACCAGGTCGGGTGGGGGCTCATGCCTACAATCCCAGCACTTTGGGAGGCTGCGTGCCATGTGCAGATCTTTTGAGCTCAGGAATTTGAGACCAGCCAGGACAACATGGCGAAACACTGTCTCTACAAAAAACAAAAACAAAAATTAGCTGATGTGGTGGCATACCCCTGTGGATTTAGCTACTTGGGGTGCTGAGGTGGAAGGATCCCTTGAGCCTGGGAGGTTGAGGCTGCAGTGAGCTGTGATTGCACCACTGCACTACTGCCTGGGCAACAATGTGAGCCCTGTCTCAAAAATAAGAATTGCTACTAGCAATAATACTATTTATTTGACTTCACCTAGAAAATACAGGGAGAGGGGAGACATTTAACCATGTCTATTAATGAAAGGGTACATATTCCATAGATTACACTTATTTTTTATATAATGCTTACATTTTTTGAGCTTCCATATTAAAAATTTGCTTTCAAGTTTTCCATATGATGGTATTTTATGACTATATAGACACACAGACACACACACACACACACACAAATATTAATATATTTTATAGCCAGAGCAAATTATACAAAATGAAAATTAGTCATTTCAAAGGTTTTACTGTGCATTATTATTTCTGGCAATATTGTGGCACTTATTTAATAATAAGTAGATGCAAATTAATATTTGCAATCATTTTTGTAACTTCCTGTGTTTGCACTTCAGTTTTGGGTTTCTTCATTATACACTACATCTCACAGAATCCCGACCTCTTC